CTGACAATATTGTTTAATTTTAAAATGTGAATTAAAAATTATGAATCAGGAGTTGCGGATCTAAGATAAAGAGCTTTTAGGATGTAAATTAATATCAACTTTATGCGCGAATAAGTTTCAAACGATCGAATAGAGTTAGATCAGATTATTAAAGTTTCTTGAAATATTAATCCGCTGCGCCTTTTCTTATTCGAAAAACTTATACGCAAGCGATACTTTACAGCAGATACAATTTTGCTTCTCTCGTGGCGGAGATTCTATTATCGTAGAACCGATGTCACGCAGAGAAATTATCTTCTCCGTCTACGCGGCTTTTCGCTTGTCCAGAACATGATTGATGATCGCAACGACTGCATGGTCGGTTCGAGACAGTCGAGATAGTCGGAGCATCAGAATATCCGGGGTTGGAGTCGCGCCGCGACCAAACCGAACCCTGGAGAAGTTAGCAAATCCAAGATGACCGCGATTTAGATGAAAATAACCAAGCGGAAATAATTTTGGCCGCGGGTGCTTCGTTGTCGACGAACAGAGATCAGTAAGGGACGACCGACAGGATTTACCATCGCGTTCCAGCTGTTTAATCGATTACAGGTGAGCAAAACATGATAGAAGAAAAATTTACTAATCATTATAACTTCCCAAGACATATTGATCCATGTATTTTATTTTATTAAAAATAAGAAGATGAAGTCTTTTTATTTTGATGCTTGGAATGTTGCAAAATATATGTTGTTTAACAATAAATTTTAGAAATCTATGCTAGAAGTATCAAATAAATATAAACGTGAAAATAATGCAGATTGTTGGCAAGGCAGTTAGCATTACAAAACCAACTTGCAATAAGTACAACTTTAATACTTACAGCTGTAATGTCATTATTATTTTGAGTAATAATTTCTTATGTTTCATATTTTACTTCATTTTATAATACAAATACATGTAATGCTCTAAAACTTTTAGAATGAATTGTCACTTTGAAGAATGAAATTTCAATCTTAAAGATTGAAAATTGAGTCATTCTTTTTCAAAATTGGCTCAATTTTCGTTCTTTAGAAGGAGATCCCACTCCAAAGAATTTAGAGAATATATTTTAAAGATTTTGTAAAACTTTTTTATTTTTACTTAGTAATCTATAATAATTTATACATGGGACCTTTCAAAGTTCTAAGAATCGAATTATAAATTGATGGATAAAACATATTCTTCAAAACTCAAAAGTTTTTTGAAAACGGTTTAAGAAAAATGATTTCGCGTTGAAATGTGTTCAGTTGTAATTTTATTGATAAAATAAAAAATTTAAAACACAACCTCCAGAACTTTAGAAATATTCTTCGCACATTTAAATAATCATTGAAACAAAATAATTATCTTCCAACATTTTAATAGATAATAAATTCTTGCGAGAATTTTAATTTTAAATGAAAACATTAAGGGTCGGATATTCCATCTTCAGATAAACTATATGGTAATTTACCTATTGGATAAACAAAAGAGTGAAAGAATAAGTGCATAAAAAAGTAAGAGAGTAAGGGCATAACAGAGTAAAATAATAAGAGAATAAAATAATAAGGTAAAATTTATCAAAAGGCGGACCAACCTAGCCTAATGTAATTTTCAAGTAAACCCGATTTTTCAATCATTGCAATCTAGATTCTGATACAAATGCAGTTCCGTTGACATACTACGCATATATATATCTCTCACTGCGAAGGTTCCGTTATCGAGAGATCAAGCAAATCGATTTTATGGAAATATGGTGCGCGATAATATCAAATCCACATGCTATTGCAGGCATAATACCACCGCAATGCAAATCTGTGGGGATGGTGAGCACTTTGCTTTTCACCTCAAACAATGCCGTTTTTGAGAATGAATTAATTAACATCGAAGAGTCGTTGCGATCGACGTTACATTGCGTTACATGCGAGCAATGCTTGAGACGATGTTTTCGTACAACGTTGAATGGGAATGATGAAATAGTGTGCCATATGTGCGTGCGCGCGCGCGCGCGCGCGCGTGTGTGTGTGTGTGTGTGTGTGTGTGTGTGTATAGATGTTTAAAAATTGAAATTATTGAAAAATCAGAAAATCTATTAAAAATTAATTTTTTATTTCGATCTTAAAAATTTTTTACTCAAATATGCAGGATGTGAAATAAGTGTCAAATATTCTAGAAATATTTTTCCATCAACCAAATATTAAAAAATGTTTATATGAACATAGACTTAATAAAATGTTTTGTTTTGAGATAAAAGGAATTTTATTGTAAAAATCTAATATCAAATAATTAATGGAACAAGTAAGGCATATTTAAAAATTTTTTACAACATTAAACATTAGAAATATTTCGTTTTAGAATTATTAAGGATTTTTCAATCTTTTTTTTATAGTTAACAATAATGTGTGTAAGTGTAAAAGCTATAATACCAGACAATTTGGAGATTATTTTAAATAAAGTTGTAATACAATTTAAATGTTCATTACTTTCTATTATCTTTCTATTAATTGTTTGGTAAAATGAATAAAATTCTTCCTATTTTAAAAACTAACATTTATAGATTTTTATAGATTTTTGATTAAAAAAAAGGCAATTTTTAATTATAAAAATTGTTTTCTTATTTACTTTGAAGTAAAATATCTGTTTTTTTTTTCATCTTTATATATGCTCCATTCTGAATCTATTTCGTTAAAACTAAATCATCAATTTTTTTAAATCAATTATCTCTTGATGTAGTTCCGATTTGTACAAGAGTATTTGGAAATAGAAATGTATTTCCTTTAAAATTGGTATGAAGGGATTTAACGTCGAAGGGATAATCCGCTGGTAAGCTGGAGAGATATCATCTCGCGTCCGCGTAAAGTCCGCGCAATTTGAAGGCGTCGTGAATTGAAGAGAGTCGTTCGTTAAAAGGGCTCATTACCGTCAACCACACATTGTTTTCATTCATCGGTTTCTGTTCGTGTCACCTGGGTAGCGTGGCTTGAATGAATGCACCTGCACCGCACGAAGCGACTCTTAAGGATCCTGAACCTTGAGTCTCAAGTCTCTATTCTCACGATGACAGGAAGAGCTTCTTTCATTCGTGATTATACAATGCAGTTTATTATATATATAAGATTATAACGTCACATAACTTTAAATTCTTGTTTTTTGATAAAATTATAAAAAAACATTTGAATTGCAATTTGGTACATAAAGTTTAATATGTATCAAGATTTTTAAAATTCTTTTTTCTAAGGATTGATAGAGTTGTTCGAAAAAAAAAGTAATTTATATTTTAAATTTATATTTTAGAGTTTTATATTTATTTTAATAACTTCTCAATTGCTTATTTATGTCTTTTGTATTGTATAAATCAAGATGTGATTCTAAAATTCATAAATATATTTAGCAGATATGTCAAATCATATTAGTTATCCTGGTCTGTGGATCTGAAGATTGAGGATTTATTAAATAAATAATAATATTATAGTTTTATCGTAGACGTAACTCTTTATGAGAGCAATCAATTAGACGAATCTCGAATTAGACTCTCATCTCAGTTTTATGTTATAGATTAAATGCAGAATAGAAGGTTGTAAATTATAGAATATAAAATGAGAAATAAAATCCGTTTTGAGAACTTACAATATTTTAATAATCTTATTGCGTTTTCGATTTAAGGAGGTTTATCGCCAACTTGAATTAGGATTAATGACCTCTGTTACGCGGCACGCTTTACGTCAAAGTTGTAATATCAATGGCCAATCATAGCTACTCTATTGAAGAATGGAATGACTGCGATAGGCTAGTTTCATAACATCGATGTTACTTCATTGTAAAGCGTGCTGTGTAAACATTGTATGCTCTGTTGGTAGAGCAAGTAACGTTAACCAATAGGAACATATAAAATAATTAATCCAATCCAGATCAATGCAAACCCTTTTAGACTAAAAATATTAATAATATTTTCTTATAAAAAGAAATTCAATGCTTAATGAATAGAGTGATAGTCAAGTGATAGTCAACCCTATTCTAACCTTCAAAACAAATTTCATAAAAATTACTCTTAATGTTTTACTTACCAATTGCAATTTTGTTTTTTAAAAATTAATTTTGTCACTCAGAAAAAAGATCTAAAGAGATAAAAAATAATTACATAAAATTTTATATTATATAGAGTTAATGTATAGTATATAGTTAATAAATAAACTATTTTATAATTTGTACAATAAATTCTAGATAATATAAAATTTATATAGTTGTTATTTTCATAGTTGCTACCACTATATCTTTTTTTTTACAACGAGCGTGTATGGAACAAAAAGTAATAATAATTTAAAGATAAGCAGTGTCTACAATGAGATTTTAGATATTAAAACTTTAGATTTTAGATAAAAAAAGATATAAAACTTAAACTTAAATCCTAAACCGTAAGAAATTGATCAATTATAGTCGATTACTTTCCTTACATTCGATTGCGATTGGCCAATTTTTTACGGCTTAGGGTTTGAAGCTTAAATTTTACGTCTTAAAATCTCATTGTAAATACTACTTTATGCGTATTTTGTGATAGCTTTGATAATTGAAGAGTTGACGTGTAAAGGGCTGTAAGTACGATGTATTATTCAGTCCTGCGTCAAGGTCGACGATTGCGGTTTCATGAAATTATGTGCAGTACAAACATGCAACAATATGCAGTACAACGGAGATAATTATTGTCATACTTTCACGAGTTGTACGAGCATTATTTGAAGAAATTTTTTGAGATTATTATTTCCAGAAAATTTACAAGCCAGTCAAAACAACAAGTCACAAAAATGAATTGAAAAGTGATTTTTAACAATTATTTTGGAATCATTTTGTCATCACATGACTTTTTCTTGGATAAACACAATAACTGATTGTAACTTTTTCTTTAGCACGCTTTATCCAAATAACGTTCGCAAACATTTATACAAAGACATGCGATAACTTGCAGAATGCAACGGCATGCGTCGTAGCGGCGCGCGTGAAGCGAGATGTTGAAGGAAGTCGGCTGCGGCAGCACCACACCCCCGCTGGGGGACGGGGGTGGCGGGACGAACGGTCGGCAGATCAGTGCGAACGAAGGGGGCGGCGGAGGCAGTGGGAGCGGCGGAGGCAGCGGTGGTGGCGGTATCGGCGAGGGTGCCCTCGGTTGCGGCGGCTGCGGAAGGGAGATCGCCGAGCGTTGGTACCTAAGGGCGGCTGATCGCGCATGGCATTGCGGCTGCCTGCGCTGCTGTCACTGCCGGGTCCCTCTGGCCGCCGAGCTCACCTGCTTTGCCAGGGATGGTAACATTTACTGCAAAGAGGATTATTACAGGTTAGTTGATGCATGATAAGTAATGATTTAAAGGAAAATCATCTTTTTAAGATAAGAGAGAAAACAATAATTAAGAGAAAGTCTAGTCTGTAAATATAAATAAATAAATATATTATATATATATATATATAT